GTCCCATCGCAGCGGAGGCGGACTGGGGCTGCCGCTTTTCCAGCCCAGGAGGAGTTTCCACCTTGCGTCCAGGTGACAGCGGAAACCCAGTTCTATTCTGAACAGCTGGCGTCTTATACTCTCAGATCTCTAATGCTTTTTAAATTTATTCACTTACAAAAATGGGGTGTGTATCGAGGCATTTGCTATAAAGGGAGCCGGAGAGAAGCACCGCAAACCCTGCCCCACATGCTTGAAAAGGGCCTCAAGATCCCCGCCGACCCAGCCCCGGGCGTCGTGCGTCCGCTCCCGGGGTCCCCGCGTGCTGGGCAGCGGCGGCCGGCCGAGAGGGGCTCGAGGCGAAGCCACCGGGCCGGACGGGAGCCCGAGGGCTTCCCGGAGGAGGCGCGGCTCCCGGCGGCTGGGAGGGAGTGCACAGCGGACGTCGACCGCACAGCCCCGGCCCGGGGGCAGCAGAGGGCAGCGGGGCGCGGCGCGTCCTGGGGACACCGAGGCCGAGGAAGGCCTCACGCCCGCTCCCGCTTGGCCGCAGCTCTGTCACCGCCGGCCGCTGGCCGCGACCCTGCAGGCGGGACCCCGCACCGGCCGGGCTGGGCCGGGCACAGCGAGCACACCGAGGGACAGGGTGGCCGGGCGGGTGGGACCCGCGTCACCGCGCCGCTGGGAGGGAACTGGGCCTGACTCTGCAGCCGGTGACCTTGGACGGGTCACGGCCGGGGCCTGGCGCAGACATCTGTGACATCGGTCACCTCCAGGTAGCGCGGGGCCGCTCTGCGGCGGGGGTCCCAGTCGGCGCCTTGGAGGAAGGGCGGGGTCACCTCCTCCTCTGCCTGACCACGAAGCCTGGGACAAGGGGGCGCTGGGTGCTAGTTCCGTAGGAAAATGGGGGAGAGATCTCGCTGTGTAGGCCAGGCTGCCCTTGAACTCCGCCTCCAACTCGTGACCCTCCTGCTTCAGCCTCCCGAGTGCGGGGATTCCAGGCCTGCGCCACCACAGCGGGCCGGATTTCTTTCTTTAGAAACTTTGGGTAACTTTTAATTCTTTAGAATAATTTAGGAAATGCTGATGTAGGGCACCACCTCGGGAAATAACACGCCTTGCTTCCGCTCGCTCTGCCAGCCCCGCTGACGTCTGCGGGTCATGTCCAGCGTTGCACCCCAGCTCCGCGGCTCCTGGGGCGCGGGAGCAAAGTGGGGTCTGCTAGGCCTGGTACCCGGTTTCCTCCAGGTCCCCCGCCAGGCCGCATGCTGCGCTCCCGGAGGGGTCCCCCGGCCTCGCGGATGTGCGGTGGGGACCCGGCGGCCGCCAGCCCGAGCGGGCCTGCAAACTCCCCTGCGCACTCGGGGGACTGGGTCGCCCCGAGCCAGCGACACCACAGTGTGGAGCCCTTGATGCCGCAGCGACAAGCGAAGTCTTCCCGTGCCGTCTGCATTTTAGTTTATAAAACTTTTCTTTTTCCCCCTCTTTCTTCTTTCCTTCTTCTTTTTTTAGTAGTACTTGAACCCAGGGCCTTCATACTGAGCTCCATCCTTAGCTTTTCCTTTTCTTATGTCATTTTTCTCTCCGTTTTTTATTTTGAGACAGGGTCTAGCTAAATCGCTTAATTGCCCTGGGCTGGAATTTTCGATCCTCCTGCCTCAGCTTCCCAGAGTGCAGCGGTGACGGAAACGCACCACACCTGGCTCTACAACATTTTTCACGCACACCAATGCAGTTAATCCTGCAGCCCTGGCCCAGGTGGACTCATCGTTATGGACAGTCAAGGAAATGCAAAGACTTAGACAAACAAACGAACAAACGAACGAACGAGGCCTCTGGGCGAAGTCGCAGGAAGCGCCTTTGAAATCCGGACGCCTTTGAAATCCTCTCCGATCCTCGCTCCCTGCAGCCCCTGCAGTGCCACAGACCCCCGCTGCCGCACCTGCGCGCACGCGTGGGTTGGAGGGTCACACCCCGGCCTCAGCTCCTCTCTTGAGGACAGCTTCTGCTGGCCCGGGGAAAGCCGGTCTGCGCAGTCTCCGAGTCCTCCTGCTGCTCCCCGAGAGCCTGCGAGTTGCGGGGATGATTAACCCCGAACCCCACGCTCCGTCGCCTCCAAACCGATGTCGCCCGCTGAGCTTTGGCTCGGCGCAGCCCCAGGACAGGCTCCAGGGTCGGGCAAAGGCGCAGCTTCTCCTGGGTCCGCGAGTTCCGGCCCGGGCGCTAGGAGGAGGCGGGTGGGGCGGGCCGGGGCTGCGCCCTCAGTGCGCGAGGTCGA